CATGATGGTCATTATCATGGTCATTATCATGATATCATTATCATGATGGTTCATTATCATGATGGTCATTACATGGTCATTATCATGATGTCATTATCATGGTCATTATCATGATGGTCATATCATGGTCATTATTCATGATGGTCATTATCAGGTCATTTTCATGATGGTCATTATCATGGTCATTATATACATATAGTCTTTATCATGAGGTCATTATCCTACTGATGGTCATTATCATGGTCATTATCATGTGAATCATTAATCATGATGTCATTATCATGATAGCATTATCATGGTCATTATCATGATGTCATTATCTATGGTCATTATCATGAGGTCATTACATGGTCATTATCATGATGTCATTATCATGATGGTCATATACATGAGGTCATATTTTACATGATATCATTATCATGATGGTTATTATCATGATGGTCATTATCATGGTCATTATCATGATATATTATCATGGTCATTATCATTGATGGTCATTATCATGGTCATATCATAAATGGTCTTATCATGGTCATTATCATGACTGGTCATAACATGGTCTATATCATGATGGTTTATATACATGGTCATATCATGATGGTCTTTATCATGGTCAGTGTTATCATCGATGGTCATTATCATGGATCATTCATTCATCAGATGTCATATCATAGTGTCATTATCATGATAGTCATTATCATGGTCATTATCATGATGGTCATTATCATGGTCATTATCATGATGGTCATTATCATGGTCTTATCATGATGGTTCATGTAATACAGATGGTCATTAATCATGATGTCATTATCAGGGGTTTTATCATGATGGTATATCATGGTCATCATCAGTGGTCATTATCATGGTCATTATCATGATGGTCATTATCATGGTCATTATCATGATGGTCTTTATCATGAGATCTATTATCAATTCAGGTCATTAGCATGTGTCATTATCATGATGGTCATTTTTCATGGTCTTATCATGTGGTATATCAGGGTATACATTGTCATTATCATGATGGTCATTATCATGGTCATTATCATGTGGTCATTATCATGATGGTCATTATCATGGTCATTAATCAATGATGGTCATTATCATGATGTCATTATCATGATGGTCATTATCATGATGGTCATTATCATGGTCATTATCATGATGGTCATTATCATGGTCATTATCAAGGTGTCATTATCATGGTCATTATCATGATTGGTCATTATCATGATGTCATTATCATGATGGTCTTTATCATGATGGATTATCAGATGGTAAATTATCATGAGTCATTATCATGATGGTTCCATTATCATGATGGTCATTATCATGATAGGTCATTATCATGAGGGATCATTATCATGGTCATTATCATGATTGGTCATTATCATGATGTCATTATCATGGTCATTATCATGGTCATTATCTATGGTCATTATCATGATGGTCATTATTCATGATGGTCATTATCATGGTCATTATCATGATGGTCATTATCATGGTATTATCATGATGCATTATCATGGTCATTATCATGATGGTCATTATCATGAGGGTCATTATTTGTTTTCATGATGGTCATTATCTGGTCATTATCATGATGGTCATTATCATGATGGTCATTATCATGATGGTCATTATCATGATGGTCATTATCATGATGATCATTATCATGGTCATTATCATGATGGTCATTATCATGATGATCATTATCATGATGGTCATTATCATGGTCATTATCGTGATGGTCATTATCATGATGGTCATTATCATGGTCATTATCTGATGATCATTATCATGATGGTCATTATCATGATGTCATTATCAGTGGTCATTATCATGATGGTCATTATCATGGTCATTATCATGATGGTCATTATCATGGTCATTATCATGATGGTCATTATCATGGTCATTATCATGATGGTCATTATCATGGTCATTATCATGTGATCATTATCATGGTCATTATCATGTTTTTGGTCATTATCATGGTCATTATCATGATGGTCATTATCATGATGGTCATTATCATGATGGTCATTATCATGGTCATTATCATGATGGTCATTATCATGGTCATTATCATGATGGTCATTATCATGGTCATTATCATGATGGTCATTATCATGATGGTCATTATCATGATGGTCATTATCATGATGGTCATTATCATGATGGTCATTATCATGATGGTCATTATCATGGTCATTATCATGATGGTCATTATCATGGTCATTATCATGATGGTCATTATCATATGATTTATGGTCATTATCATGATGGTCATTTTTTCATGGTCATTATCATGATGGTCATTATCATGTGGTCCATTATCATTTTTGGTCATTATCATGGTATTATCATGATGGTCATTATCATGATGGTCATTATCATGATGGTCATTATCATGATGGTCATTATCATGATGGTCATTATCATGGTCATTATCATGATGGTCATTTATTCTTTTGATGGTCATTATCATGATGGTCATTATCATGATGGTCTTATCATGGTCATTTCTGATGGTCATTATCATGGTCATTATCATGATGGTCATTATCATGATGGTCATTATCATGATGGTCCATTCATTCATGATGGTCATTATCATGAGTCATTATCATGGGTCATTATCATGATGGTCATTATCATGATGGTCATTATCATGGTCATTATCATGATGGTCATTATCATGATGATCATTATCATGTGGTCATTATAAATGATGGTCATTATTATGATGTCATTATCATGAGGGTCATTATCATGATGGTCATTATCATGATGGTCATTATCATGATGTCATTATCATGATGTCATTATCAATGGTCATTATCATGATGGTCATTATCATGAGTCATTATCATGATGGTCATTATCATGGTCATTATTATGATGGTCATTTATCATGATGTCATTATCATGATGGTCATTATCATGATGGTCATTATCATGGTCATTATCATGATGGTCATTTATCATTGGTCATTTATCATGATGGTCATTATCATAGGTCATTATCACATTAAATGGTCATTATCATGATGGTCATTATCATGATGGTCATTATCATGATGGTCATTATCATGATGGTCATTATCATGGTCATTATCATGATGGTCATTATCATGGTCATTATCATGATGGTCATTATCATGATGGTCATTATCATGATGGTCATTATCATGATGGTCATTATCATGGTCATTATCATGATGGTCATTATCATGATGGTCATTATCTTTTGGTCATTATCATGATGGTCATTATCATGGTCATTATCATGATGGTCATTATCATGATGGTCATTATCAATGGTCATTATCATGATGGTCATTATCATGGTCATTATCATGGGTCATTATCATGATGGTCATTATCATGATGGTCATTATCATGATGGTCATTATCATGGTTTTATTCATGATGGTCATTATCATGGTCATTATCATGGTCATTATCATGTGGTCATTATCATGATGGTCATTATTTGGTCATTATCATGGGTCATTATCATGATGGTCATTATCATGGTCATTATCATATGGTCATTATCATGATGGTCATTATCATATGGTCATTATCATGATGGTCATTATCATGGTCATTATCATGATGGTCATTATCATGGTCATTATTTGGTCATTATCATGATGGTCATTATCATGATGGTCATTATCATGATGGTCATTTCTTTGATGGTCATTATCATGATGGTCATTATCATGGTCATTATCATGAGGGTTTCATTATCTATGGTCATTATCATGATGGTCATTATCATGATGGTCATTATCATGATGTCATTATCATGGTCATTTCATGATGGTCATTATCATGGTCATTACAGAGGGTCATTATCATGGTCATTATCATGATGGTCATTATCATGGTATTTCATGATGGTCATTATCATGGTCATTATCATGATGGTCATTATCATGATGGTCATTATCATGGTCATTATCATGATGGTCATTATATGTCATTATATGATGATCATTATCATGATGGTCATTATCATGGTTCTTATCATGATTCGTATTTTACAATGGTCATTATCATGATGGTCATTATCATGGTCATTATCATGAGGTCATTATCATGGATTTTGATGCATTATCATGGTCATTATCATGATGGTCATTATCATGATGATCATTATCATGATGGTCATTATCATGATAGTCATTATTATGATGTCATTATCATGGTCATTATCATGATGGTCATTATCATGATGGTCATTATCATGATGGTCATTATCATGGTCATTATCTTGATGATCATTATCATGATGGTCATTATCATGGTCATTATCATGATGGTCATTATCATGATGTCATTATCATGGTCATTATCATGATGGTCATTATCATGATGGTCATTATCATGGTCATTATCATGATGGTCATTATCATGATGGTCATTATCATGGTCATTATCATGATGGTCATTATCATGATGGTCATTATCATGATGGTCATTATCATGATAGTCATTATCATGATGGTCATTATCATGATGGTCATTATCATGGTCATTATCATGATGGTCATTATCATGATGGTCATTATCATGATGGTCATTATCATGATGGTCATTATCATGATCATTATCATGATAGTCATTATCATGGTCATTATCATGATGGTCATTATCATGATGGTCATTATCATGGTCATTATCATGATGGTCATTATCATGATGGTCATTATCATGGTCATTATCATGATGATCATTATCATGATGGTCATTATCATGGTCATTATCATGATGGTCATTATCATGATGGTCATTATCATGGTCATTATCATGATGGTCATTATCATGATGGTCATTATCATGATGGTCATTATCATGATAGTCATTATCATGATGGTCATTATCATGATGGTCATTATCATGATGGTCATTATCATGGTCATTATCATGATGGTCATTATCATGATAGTCATTATCATGATGGTCATTATCATGATGGTCATTATCATGATGATCATTATCATGGTCATTATCATGGTGATCATTATCATGGTCATTATCATGATGGTCATTATCATGATGGTCATTATCGTGATAGTCATTATCATGATGGTCATTATCATGGTCATTATCATGATGATCATTATCATGGTCATTATCATGATAGTCATTATCATGATGATCATTATCATGGTCATTATAATGAAGGTCATTATTATGATGGTCATTATCATGATGGTCATTATCATGATGGTCATTATAATGAAGGTCATTATTATGATGGTCACTATCATGATGGTCATTATCATTATGGTCATTATCATGTGGTCCTTATCTTTCTGGTCATTATCTTAGTCATTATTATCATGGCCCTTATCCTCCTGGTCATCATCATCCTGGTCATCAACATCCTGGTCATCAACATCATCCTGGTCATCATCATCATCCTGGTCATCATCATCCTGGTCATCATCATCATCCTGGTCATCATCATCCTGGTCATCATCATCATCCTGGTCATCATCATCCTGGTCATCATCATCCTGGTCATCATCATCCTGGTCATCATCATCCTTGTCATCATCATCATCCTGGTCATCATCATTCTGGTCATCATCGCCCCACTCTTCATCACAGGTCTCCAGGCCCCTCGTTCTCTGCAATAATAATAATAATAATAATAATAATAATAATAATAATAATAATAATAATAATAATAATAATAATAATAATAAAATAATAATAATAATAATAATAATAATAATAATAATAATAATAATAATAATAATAATAATAAGAAAGTACCTGGTGGTTGTGGATGACCTGGTAACAAGGTGATTCAGGCTGCACCAGGTCAAGGAAGGTCAACCCGGCGTTGTTACACACGAACAAGTCAAGATCACTCTGCTGGAACAAGATCACTCTGCTGGAACAAGATCACTCTGCTGGAACAAGATCACTCTGCTGGAGCAAGATCACTCTGCTGGAACAAGATCACTCTGCTGGAACAAGATCACTCTGCTGGAACAAGATCACTCTGCTGGAACAAGATCACTCTGCTCGAACAAGATCACTGCTGGAACAAGATTACTGCTGAAATAAGATTACTGCTGGAACAAGATTACTGCTGGAACAAGATTACTGCTGGAACAAGATTACTGCTGGAGCAAGATTACTGCTGGAACAAGATTACTGCTGAAACAAGATTACTGCTGGAAGAAGATTACTGCTGGAACAAGATCACTGCTGAAACAAGATTACTGCTGGAAGAAGATTACTGCTGGAACAAGATCACTGCTGGAGCAAGATTACTGCTGGAGCAAGATTACTGCTGGAGCAAGATTACTGCTGGAACAAGATTACTGCTGGAACAAGATTACTGCTGGAACAAGATTACTGCTGGAGCAAGATTACTGCTGGAGCAAGATTACTGCTGGAACAAGATTACTGCTGAAACAAGATTACTGCTGGAAGAAGATTACTGCTGGAACAAGATCACTGCTGGAACAAGATCACTGCTGGAACAAGTTAAGATTACGTGATAAGGACAATAAATTAGCGGTATAGAAAATAGATAGATAAATAGAGAGAGAGAGAGAGAGAGAGAGAGAGAGAGAGAGAGAGAGAGAGAGAGAGAGAGAGAGAGAGAGAGAGAGAGAGAGAGAGAAAGAGAGAGAGAAGGAGAAGTGGGGAATTCAGAAACACGAGAGATATTGGCTTTCGTTGTAGAGAGGCTGCTACTGCTAAGTACAAAGCATGGCGAAGGTATAAGAGACATCCTACCACCTATAACAGGAACTTGCACAGGTAAGCCTGTAGGCATATGGGCGACGTTCAAAAGTGGGCCATTGCTAAATGGGAGGTGGACACTAAAAGAAAGCTAGCATCAGGTAGGGTAGGCTCCAAAACCTGGTGATCCCTGGTCAAGGACAGACAAGGTTATCTGCCTGATGAACTTATTCCACCTCTAAATCGACAGGATGGGACCACCTCTACTAGGAGTCAAGAGAAGGCGGACCTCTTTGCTGAACACTTTGCTACCAAAATGCAAGATCCTGATCCAGCAAGGGACCCTCCTTGGCTAGCTGCAAGAACTGTGTCAAAACTGTCAGTGGTGACAATAAGGCAGGAGGAGGTGCATTTCCTTCTAAATCGCTTGACCAAGAAAATGCTGTGGGCCCAGACAAATGAGCCCAAGATTGTTGAGATGTGGTGCAGACCAGCTAGCAGCACCTCTAACTAGCATCTTTCAGCACTGCCCAGTACAGTGTAAATGGCCCTCTCTAGAAAAGAGACAAATGTAGTTTCCCGTTCACAAAAAAAAAGAGCAGAGCAGAAATCAGCAACTACAGACCATGTCACTCCTGTCAATCACTGGTAAGATCCTTGAGACAATAATCTCAAGACAAATGACAGAGTTTTTTGACTACCACTCACATACTTTGTGATCGTCAATACGGCTTCAGGAAAGGTTACTCTGCTGCTGATCTGTTGTTAAACCTCTCCACTAAGTGGCACCAGTCACTGGATGAATCCAAAGTCAGCTGTGTGGTAGCACTGGACATTGCTGGTGCTTTCGACCGGGTTTACACAGGGCCTCTTAGCAAAACTTCAAGCACTGAGAATTGCGGCTCTACGCTATGTCTCCTCAGTGATTACCTTCATGGTAGATCTCTAAGTGTAGTTCTCCATGGAACGGAATCAGCAAGACATCCTATTGGGGCAAGTGTTCCACAAGGAAGCGTGCTGGGTCCACTGTTATGGAATGTCTACTTCAACGACCTTCTTCACTCACCCCAGAATTACATGCATATGTAAGACGACTGTACACTGACATTCACTTATCCAAGAGAAGAAATGTCAGCTGCTCTAAGCAAACATCAATCACCACTGAGAGCTATATCAGCTTGGGGAAATAGATGGAAAGTAACATTTGCACCTGAGAAAACGCAAATGATGATCGCTCTAGGCACCATGATGGTAATGTTGGTGCAGTAGAAAGGATGAATGGGAGGGGGGTTGGCACCTGGAGAAGAAGTTGATACCTTTGGGGGTGAAATTTGACTCCAAACTAACCATGAAAAACCATGTTGTAAATCTTGCAAACAAGGCAGCCAGAAGCTTACAGCACTTCCCCGTATCTCACATCTGCTTGACAGTAGGGTTGCAAGATTCTGTACGAGGCACAAGTACGCTCACACCTTGAGTATGCTCCACTTTCTTGGGTTTTCCTGCCCCCCCCCCTCTCATCTGCGACTGCTTTACAGAGTAGAGAACAGAGCAAGACGTCCCCATCTCTGGGCCCGGATCCATCCTGGATAATCTGTCATTTCAGCAGAGCCTTCAACAAAGGAGGATGTGGGTGGCCTTACTGTTATGTACAAGGCCAATATTGTCAAAGTACCACACTTGGATCCACTTCGAGGACAGCGTGAAACAAGCTTTTTTGCCACAAGACGGGCAGAAAGCAGCAAAATTTTACTCTGGGTGTACCCTTCTCCAGAACATCACTCCATCTGAGTCTACATACCCAGGATGACTCGAGTAATGGAACACATTCGTACAGGATAATGATGTCAACGAGATAAAAATCAGTTGATCAAATGAAAATGCTGGCCCACAGATGGCTCCAACTTCATCCTGTTTCCCTACTTGTATGTCTCATAACAATAAAAATGCTTTCAAATTTAGCTGATGTAGGTAACAGCTCTTAGCTTGCCAAAAAAGTTTTGGAAACCTTAACCCGTAAATACCTTGTCAATAAAGCTAGGGATCCTTAACCTGTAAATAGCTTGTCAATAAAGCTAGGGATCCTTAACCTGTAAATAACTTGTCAATAAAGCTAGGGATCCTTAACCTGTAAATAACTTGTCAATAAAGCTAGGGATCCTTAACCTGTAAATGGCTTGTCAATAAAGCTAGGGATCCTTAACCTGTAAATAGCTTGTCAATAAAGCTAGGGATCCTTAACTGTAAATAACTTGTCAATAAAGCTAGGGATCCTTAACCTGTAAATAACTTGTCAATAAAGCTAGGGATCCTTAACCTGTAAATGGCTTGTCAATAAAGCTAGGGATCCTTAACCTGTAAATAACTTGTCAATAAAGCTAGGGATCTTTAACCTGTAAATAGCTTGTCAATAAAGCTAGGGATCCTTAACCTTGTCAAACCCTGTGTAAAAAAAAAAAAAAAAAAACAGGAGTTTTCTCTCATACTCTCTCTCTCTCTCTCTATCTATCTATCTATCTATCTATCTCTTCCTCCCTCCCTCCTTACCCTAACTCACCACCTGCAGTAGCTGGTGCAGCAGGCGGGGAAGCTGGTGCCTGCAGGCCAGGTGGAGAGCAGTATCACCACTCAGCTGGCACTGTAGGTTAACACTGGCACCCTCAGTCAGCAGTGCCAACAGCCACATCTCGTCTCCGGCTACCACTGCCTCGTGCACTGCCGTGTACCCTGTGCAATAATATACATATATATATATATATATATATTATATATATATATATATATATATATATAAATATATATTATATTATATATATATATATATATTTATATATATTATATATATATGGTGCCGAATAGGCAGAACTTTCGATTCTTGGCTTAAATAGCAACGTTCATCTTGCCATATAGGACAAGTGAAAATTTGTTGTATGCAATAATTTCGCCAAATCATTCTGAACCTAACGAAAAAAATATATTCACTGTGTTTGTTTAGTATTAAATTATTGTAAACAAATCTAAAATATATTTAGTTGGGTTAGGCTAAAATAAATTGTTCTTGTTTATAATAAGGTCAGGTAAGTTTTCTAAGATGCTTTTGGAGCAAAATTATAAATTTTTACATTAACATTAATGAAAAAAATATATCTTTAAACGTATAAGAGAAAATTTTAGAAAGGACTTAATTTTAAATGAGTTCTTGCTAATTAACCAGTTTTACATATTCGGCACGACATATATATATTAATATATATATATATATATATAATAATAAATCGTAGATTTACCTTCATCATCGAAATCATTGAGTGCCAGGTTTCTCTTCTTGTTATTATCTACTTTCAACTTGATTACGTCTTTATTCTCTTCTTTCTTCTTTCCTTCAGGTCCCAACAACCTCTCTTCCTTCCTCTTTCTCTTCCTTCTCTTCCTCTTCCTTCTCTTCCTCTCTCTTCCTCCTCCTTCTCTATCTCTTCCTTCTCTTCCTCTTCCTTCCCTTCCTCCTCCTTCTCTTTCTCTTCATTCTCTTCCTCTTCCTTCTCTTCCTCTTCCTTCTCTTCCTCTTCCTTCTCTTCCTCTTCCTCCTCCTCTTCACATCCACTCATTTCTTGTGTATCGTCGTTGCTACTCTGGCTACCTGCTGTCAACACATTTATATAGATGTATATAGATGTTTAATACAACTGGATACACACACACACACACACACACACACACACACACACACACACACAAGTGTATAATTGACAACCAGCACGGTTTCAGGGAAGGAAAATCCTGTGTCACAAACCTACTAGAGTTTTATGACAAGGTGACAGAAGTAAGACAAGAGAGAGAGGGGTGGATCGACTGCGTATTTTTGGACTGCAAGAAGGCCTTCGACACAGTTCCTCACAAGAGGTTACTGGAAAAGCTAGAGGATCAGGCACACATAACAGGAAAGGCACTACAATGGATCAGAGAATATCTGACAGGGAGGCAACAACGAGTCATGGTACGCGACGAGGTGTCAGAGTGGGCGCTTGTGACAAGCGGGGTTCCACAGGGGTCAGTCCTAGGACCTGTGCTGTTCTTGGTATATGTGAACGACATAACGGAAGGGATAGACTCAGAAGTGTCCTTGTTTGCAGATGATGTGAAGTTAATGAGAAGAATCAAATCGGACGAGGATCAGGCAGGACTACAAAGAGATCTGGACAGGCTACAAGCCTGGTCCAGCAACTGGCTCCTTGAGTTTAACCCCGCCAAATGCAAAGTCATGAAGATTGGGGAAGGGCAAAGAAGACCGCAGACACAATATAGTTTAGATGGCCAAAGACTGCAAACCTCACTAAAGGAAAAAGATCTGGGGGTGAGTATAACACCGAGCATATCTCCTGAGGCGCACATCAATCAGATAACTGCTGCAGCATACGGGCGCCTGGCAAACCTACGGATAGCGTTCCGATACCTCAGTAAGGATTCGTTTAAGACTCTGTATACCATCTACGTCAGGCCCATACTGGAGTATGCAGCACCAGTTTGGAATCCACACCTAGTCAAGCACGTCAAGAAATTAGAGAAAGTGCAAAGGTTTGCAACAAGACTAGTCCCAGAGCTACGGGGATTGTCCTATGAAGAAAGGTTGAGGGAAATCGGCCTGACGACACTGGAGGCCAGGAGGGTCAGGGAGACATGATAACGACATATAAAATACTGCGCGGAATAGACGAGGTGGACAAAGACAGGATGTTCCAGAGATGGGACACAGACACAAGAGGTCACAATTGGAAGTTGAAGACTCAGATGAATCAAAGGGATGTTAGGAAGTATTTCTTCAGTCATAGAGTAGTCAGGCCGTGGAATAGCCTAGAAAGTGATGTGGTGGAGGCAGGAACCATACATACTTTTAAGGCGAGGTATGATAGAGCTCATGGGGCAGGGAGAGAGAGGACCTAGTAGCAATCAGTGAAGAGGCGAGGCCAGGAGCTGTGACTCGACCCCTGCAACCACAAATAGGTGAGTACAAATAGGTGAGTACACACATACACACACACACACACACACACACACACACACACACACACACACACACACACCTTAAACCAATCAAAAGTAATTTAAAATAATAATAATAATAATAATAATAATAATAATAATAATAATAATAATAATAATAATAATAATAATAATAATAATAATAATAATAATAATAAATAATAATAAAAATAATAATAATAATAATAATAATAATAATAATAATGATAATAATAATAATAATAATAATAATGATAATAATGATAATAATAATAATAATAATAATAATAATAATAATAATAATAATAATAATAATAATAATAATAATAATAATAATAATAATAATAATGATAATAATAATAATAATAATAATAATAATAATAATAATAATAATAATAATCAACATTACTACATTAATCCTGATCTTCTACTCATCCATATATCCAAACCTCTTCATCCACCCTTCAACCCCCCCTCTATCCACTTATCCACACCTGTATATCTATCCCCAACACCTTCCATTTCAACCAGAAGACAGAATATACTCACCAGACTTTCTCTCATTAGCACAGAGATCAAACTCATAGATCCCATCAACTGAAAAAAAATAAATATATATATATATATTATATATATATATATATATATATATATATATATATATATTATATAATATATATATATATATATATATATATATATATATATATATATATATATATATATAATATATATAATGGTGAAGCATGTGCGATATTCCCTTCTGGGGTATCACATTTTGAGGCTATGGAAGGAGAATTTATGTCACTTTTCTCGAGAATGGATGGGTAGATAGGGAAATTGATATGGGGGAAGGATTAATGAATCACTATTTTGATGCTTATTACTGAAATGAAAGTGAGAATCTAGTAAGTGGGCCAGAGGAGTAGACACAGAGAGAACGTTTCGCTCAGGACTGCAATTCATCAAACCTTGATAGAGCTCTATCTAGAGCTTGTATGAAATGACGAAGCTCTATATTACGTATCTATGTACCCCAAGAACTCAAATTTCCTGAAATATCAGCTCAAGGTATATACAAAGGGTCAAGTAATATTCGTAATCTAAGGGTATATTTACCCAAGTTAAAATATTCTTCCACGTCCAGAGAAAGTATTGGATCCAGAGTTTGTAGGAGACATGAATATTCCTGTGTTGGTATTGCGTTGTTTTGAGGTGTTGAGGTTGCTGTGTGGGTGTCGGGGTGTTGTTGGAGAGGGTTGGAGGTGTAGTGTTGGGGTGTGAAAGAGGTTATGTGGGGTGGTTGATATGTGGGGATGTCTTGCAAGTGTGGGTTTTGTGTTGGGGTGAGTTGTGTGGGGGTGGGTGAGAGGGTGTAGGTGTGGTTGTGAGGTGTAGTTGGGGTTGTGAGGGTGTGAGGTTTGTGAGTATGTTGGTGGATGTGGGTTGATGGGTGGGGTGCTGTGAGGGGTTGGTGGAATGATACTGTGGTTGAGTGGTGAGGGTGTTGTTGTTGCTGGGGTTGCAGGGAGTGTTGCAGGGGTGTTGCAGGGGGTGTTGCAGGGAGTGTTGCAGGGAGTGTTGCAGGGGTGTTCAGGGGGTGTTGCAGGGAGTGTTGCAGGGAGTGTTGCAGGGAGTGTTGCAGGGGGTGTTGCTGTTGTTGTGGTGGTTTCTGGTGTTGCAGGGAGTGTTGCTGTTGTTGTTGTGATTGCAGGGAGTGTTGCAGGGAGTGTTGCTGTTGTTGTGGTGGTTGCTGGTGTTGCAGGGAGTGTTGCTGTTGTTGTTGTGATTGCAGGGAGTGTTGCAGGGAGTGTTGCAGGAGTGTTGCTGTTGTTGTTGTGATTGCAGGGAGTGTTGCAGGGAGTGTTGCTGTTGTTGTTGTGATTGCAGGGAGTGTTGCAGGGAGTGTTGCAGGAGTGTTGCAGGGAGTGTTGCTGTTGTTGTTGTGATTGCAGGGAGTGTTGCAGGGAGTGTTGCTGTTGTTGTTGTGATTGCAGGGAGTGTTGCAGGGAGTGTTGCTGTTGTTGTTGTGATTGCAGGGAGTGTTGCAGGGAGTGTTGCAGGGAGTGTTGCTGTTGTTGTTGTGATTGCAGGGAGTGTTGCAGGGAGTGTTGCTGTTGTTGTTGTGATTGCAGGGAGTGTTTGCAGGAGTGTTGCAGGGAGTGTTGCTGTTGTTGTTGTGATTGCAGGGATGTGCGGAGTGTTGCAGGGAGTGTTGCTGTTGTTGTTGTGATTGCAGGGAGTGTTGCGGGGAGTGTTGCAGGGAGTGTTGCTGTTGCTGCAGCTGTAGTTGCTGCTGCTGTTGCTGTTGTTCCTGTTGCTGTCGTAACTCTTGCTGTTCCTGCTGTTCCAATTGGTCTTCCCGTTGCCCTTCCCACTGTTGATACCGCCGTTCCAGCCGTTCATGCTGAGAGTAACACTGCCCATACTGTTGCCGCTCCCGTTGATACTGTTGTTGCTCCCGTTGATACTGTTGCTGCTCCCGTTGATACTGTTGCTGCTCCCGTTGATACTGTTGCTGCTCCTGTTGCTGCCGTTGTGAGCCGAATAATGCAACAGAACTGAGGGTCGTCCCAAACGTGTGTTTCCCCTTATTAAACCCTAAAAGTAAACAGATTATTATTATTATTATTATTATTATTATTATTATTATTATTATTATTATTATTATTATTATTATTATTATTATTATTATTATTATTAGTGTGTGTGTCAATACGCATATCATTATTTTTTCAGAGTGGTGGAAGGGATTCGAACCTGTGGTATGATCAGGAAGGTACCTGATTTCCTGTTCCTGGCTGTACTGTTGATCTGATGGGCGGTAGAGACACAGTCTGACTTCCACAGGTTCACTGATAGTCAGTGTCTTGTACCTGGGCGTCCTGGGGAGAGCAGGAGGAGGGTAGTCAGAGAGCCTTCTGATTTACTTTTCTTGACTACCCAAGGTAGGCAAGAATGTGGTTTCTCCCATTTACTCTCTCTCTCTCCCTCTATCTATCTATCTATCTATCTATCTATCTATATATCTGTCTATCTATCTGTCTTTCTATCTATCTATCTATCTATCTATCTGTCTATTTATCTATCTATCTATCTGTCTATCTATCTATCTATCTATCTATCTATCTATCTATCTGTCTATCTGTCTATCTATCTATATATCTATCTATCTGTCTGACTATATATCTATCTATCTATCTATCTATCTATCTATCTATCTATCTATCTATCTATATATCTATCTATCTATCTATCTATCTATCTATCTATCTATCTATCTATCTATCTATCTATCTATCTGTCTGTCTGTCTGTCTATCTATCTATCTATCTATCTATCTATCTATCTATCTATCGATCTATCTATCTGTCTATCTATTTATCTATCTATCTATATA